TGGGCTCCATTTTACAAAATGGTGGAGAGATTGATGAGGATGTAAATCACAGAATCAGAGCAGGGTGGATGAAATGGCGTAGTGCATCTGCATTTTTGTGTGACCGCAAAATTCCCCTGAAGTTAAAAGGAAAATTCTATAAAACGGCAGTACGACCGGCAATGCTATATGGAGCGGAATGCTGGCCAGCACATAGGCAACATGAGCATAAGATGGGAGTAGCAGAGATGAGGATGTTAAGGTGGATGTGTGGGTACACAAGGATGGATAAGATAAGAAATGAAGATATTCGACGAAAGGTCGGAGTAGTACCGGTAGCCGAGAAGATGAGAGAACATAGATTGAGGTGGTTTGGGCACGTGATGAGAAGACCCATGGATGCTCCTGTAAGAACAGAAGTTTGTTACCAAGAGCTAAACACAAAAAGAGGCAGAGGTAGGCCGAAGCTTACTTGGGGGAAAGTAGTAAAACAAGATTTAATGGAGTGGGATATAGATTGGCGGACAGTATGTCTTAGAAAGGAATGGAGAAAAGCTATAAGTATGGTGGAGGGTTAGACTCGCTGTTACTCCTATGTTCCAGATGGTCCTTTTTTAGTCCTTTTCCCCTTCATTTCCCCCACTTCTTCTTGTCCCTTTCTTTTTTACTTTTATTTATTTATATATACATATATTTTTATTTCATTTTATTTTATTTTATTATTTTATTTGTGTATTTTTATTTATTTATTTATTTATTTATTTTTTATTTTTTATTTTTTTTTACTTTTTTTCAACCGTTTTGTATTTTTCATGTGGGTTCATCTACCACCGACCCCAATTAATTTGGGATAAATGTGTTGTTGATGTTGATGTTGATATTGATTCGCATTGAGTCCTGTCTATTTGCTACAGAAGCTTACAAATGTCATAGTCAGTGTTATTAATTGCGGATTGCAAGCTCATTGCAGCAAGCCAAAAAATGTGTCATACAAACATGGTGGAAGCATGGTGACCATAATATATAACAAATTGACACAAAATAAGACAAACATAAATTAAAAATCTATTCCTCCTTCCTATGTAGTCATTCTCCTTGTCATCTAGTGAGGTATATGCCTCTTCCTCATCTCCTGTTGATTCCTCAGAGAGAACTAATAGAGGAAGTCTGTGATGTTCAGTCCCTCTTCCTCATCTTCCTTGTTTCCTTAGTCCTGTTATTGGTGCTTGAAGTCTCCGGTGATCCTTGACCTTGAGTAGCCATAATTTGAATCACTGAGAACAAACAACAATATGAGAATGATACGATACCACCCTCAAGGGCAATTTAGGGAAAGCGATTGGGCTGAGTCAGCAACAAGGCAGTTAGGAAGGAATATTCATGAAATGTCTTATGAGATAATTACTAACAGAATGGGGAAGAAAGTAGTGCTACACAGCATGAGCAATGTGAAGACTATGTGGCTGGTATAAATAGTAATTGGGAATGCCAGAGGGAGTATCTTTGGGAATTATTGGGAACCTTTTGGGATATTGGGAGAGATCCCTGGCCCTCTCAAATTGCTCAGGAATATCTTTTCTTTTAACTTTCTGTATTTCTTTCCATTTTCTTTTGCCAATTATTTCAGCACTTTTCATTGCATTGTTCCAAGAATCTGTAGATTTGTTTCCTCATTAATCAACATCAGAAGTTTGCCCGTTAGATTATCTTTTATTTCCAATTCCCTCTCTGGTACCTATTATTTCTGCCAGACAAACTGAGCATGCACAAGCTAAGCGAGAACGTGAGTTATACATTATTTCTTATTATCATTCAAGGGAGCATATGGTCAAAGATGATCCGAGACAACAATTACTGTTTCCATTGGGAAACTTCCCTTTTCCAAGGCATATACGCACTCAATTGAGTTAAGAGACAGTATACAATTTGGAAGTAGAAAAACTGCAATATTTTTTAAAATGCCAAGTATGGGTTTCCATACAGACAAATTATGTAATGTTGCAATGCTATTGCAAAACACAATCTGTTGCTGTTGGGTTGGAGGGCGTGAAAGAATATTTAAGAGTTGCTAAGCATCATCTTGCAGAAGTTACAAATGAATGGGATAGGCTTGAAGAAAAGGCATGGGATCCCACTGGAAGTCGCCAAGCTTGGTGCATATGTGGGATCCTACAAGGCATGGGATCCCACTGGAAGTCGCCAAGCTTGGTGCATATGTGGGATCCTACAATTCAAACACTGGGATCCAGGAGGAGGGTTTTTGTGGACTGACCTACACCTTGAGGACAAGGTGCTTAAAAGGGGCGGAGTATTGATACGATACCACCCTCAAGGGCAATTTAAGGAAAGCAATTGGGATGAGTCAGCAACAAGGCAGTTAGGAAGGAATATTCAGAAATGTAATATGTGATAATTACTAACAGAATGGGGAAGAAAGTAGTGCTACACAGCATGAGCAACATGAAGACTATGCAGCTGGTATAAATAGTAATTGGGACTGTCAGAGGGAGTATCTTTGGGAATTATTGGAAACTTTATGGGATATTGGGAGATATCCCTGAGCCTCTCGAATTGCTCAGGAATATCTTTTCTTTAAATTTCTGTATTTCTTTCCATTTTCTTTTACCCAATTATTTCAGCACTTCTCCTTGCAATGTTCCAAGAATCTGTAGATCTGTTTCCTCATTAATCAATATCAGAAGTTTGCCCCTGTTAGATTATCTTTTATTTCCAATTCCCTCACTGGTACCTATCAGAAAACCATAGAAAACAAACAAACAAAAGGAGAGAGAATTAATGGAAGCCATCAAACAGAGGGGAACATAGAGTAAATAATGGCAGAGAGAACAGAGACTCGGATAGAACAGAGAGGGAACATAAGTAAGAGAAAAGGAAACAGAGGAAAGGAAAGAGAGAAACAAAAGAACATAGACTCAGAGGTTACTTAAGAAGATCAAATGGGTCATTAGCCAGAGACGAGTCCTGTTTGCGGTGGAGATAGTGAACGTCTTCATTTGGTTTTACTGTGAAGAAGTATGGAGTGGAGATCATTCAGTTTTGCAGAGTATAAGACATGGAGGAGGTCGTTTAAGCCCCTTTTGTTTAAAACATGCGAAATGGTCGAGGTCTTTAGTTCAAATATATATATATATATATAGCTGCTGTACGTGCAGCAATCAAGTACTTGCCATATATATAGTTGAAAGCATTAAATGCAGGGAATCATAACCACACAAAGGATGAAAGCATTAAATATGAGGAATCATAACCATACACCTGTCGTTGCTGTACGTAAAGTGGCTGCAGAAATGATTTACTAAATATATATATATATATATATATATATATATATATATATATATGGGTTAGGATCATTTTACACCAGTGTAAGTTACACTCTTAATCTTGTTCGCCGATTCCACTTATATCTAATGATTCAAATTTTTTAGTAATGTGAGCCATTGGATACAAATGGATCAATGGTCAAGATTGAGTGTAAGACTTCTAACTCTTACACCGGTGTAAGAATTCTAACTCTTACACCGGTGTAAGAATATCCTGCCCCTGTATATATATATATATAAACACTGCTCCTCCATAACTGCCATAACCACCATGGCAAAAGCAGTTGCCATAGGCCGCAATGCCATTGACATCTGATGGCATTCTGCTTGAATTCCACAATGCCATAGCGCCATGGCCACTATTTGACAACATTGGTCAGAGTACATAAGATGAGGATTGCCTTACCATTATGGTAAATCTACAGAAGAAATGATTCAGGGACAGATCCAGGAATCAACTAATGAGGGGGCCAAATTTATAAATACCAAGAACCAAAATATTTAAGTAAATAATAGGCCAGTGAAACAATACTCCATATACTAGTGTGTAAAAATGTTAGTTACTTGCAACACATTATTTGACCAGCCGCCCAACCCATAGGTTTACTCGTTTAAATTTGTTTTAGGGTTTTATGTTTATCATTTAACATAATATAACTTCACTTTCCTACACACACATTAAAGAAGTGGGGTCCACATGTTTTTCTTTCTCTTTCATCATTTCACTTTCTCTCTCCCTTTTGATGTGAGAGTTGGAAACAACACTTACATTATGTTACATAACACTAATAAAACCCTTTGTTTTAGTCACAAGCCATCACATGAGCCAGTAATAATAACTGCAGTAGGGGCTCTTTTTTCTTAACATGTAAAAAATCCAATCCTACGTATACTTTTAAAAAGGGGGACCAAAGCCACTGCTTGTGGCCCTAAATCCGTTCCTCATATTTAATGGAATTTTAACCATATGGATAAATAATTATAACTGGTTCATTGGATATGCTGATATGTACTACTGAAACACCCTTAACAAGATGCCCTACTGAAGTTTATATCTCCTACTTTTTGAGTTGAATTACATAGAGAATTTAATGCATAATGTGTTGGCCGACAATGCATTGAAATGGAGTAACTTAATTTGTCTTGTGTGTAGAATTGGTCTATCCAAACCTCTGTCAAAACTACACCATATGATGCTTTTAGTATGGTTTATTCCTAGCCATCATTCTAAATCGCACCTTAGCAATGATAGCAATTCAGCGAGCATTTTGTCAATATGAAACAATTCAGCGAGCATCAGTCCATCTGCTTGGGGAGTTGTTCTCTCTGTGGAATGTCTGGAACAGTTCTATGAAGATGCTTCAATGTTCTCAATATCACTTGCATAGATGTTGTGTGCTTGGCTGAAATTAGTGCATATTAACATGCATTTACGTATAAGCATGCCGTGTTAAATGTCAGCTTGTTGTGTGCTCAACCTTAGAGTAGCCAGATTATATAGCTTGAGTAAGATACTGCCAATAGTTAAAATAAGGGAGTGCATTAATACTGATCCGATGCATGACATAGGAACTAAAAGAAACTATTTTCCCTTCCACGTTTAATGTCACATATTTTCAATTGTAAATTGAACAGTAAATAATCTTTCTAATGTTTTTCTAACATGTCCCATGGCAGGTGATTGATGAATTTGATCAGAACGTACATTTTATTGAAATTGATATAGAGGAAGATCAAGAAATAGCAGAAGCAGCTGGAATCATGGGTACTCCATGTGTGCAGTTTTTTAAAAACAAGGAGATGCTTGGGTTAGTAATATTTGATCTTTCCTCTCATCTTATTATCTATCATCTATACTAAAATATGTGATTCAGGCTTGAGTTTGCTATCATTAATATGATACATATTTTGATAAATGTACATACATGTTCGGGAAAGTTTTTTTTACCCCAAAAGCACTCTCATCAAGTTGCTAAAACATAAAGCTTATTTTTTTTTTTTTAAACAAAAATTAAGCTAATCCAAACATTCAATGACTAAAGCTGCTAATTTCCATCTTTATTATTAGAGACTGAGAGGTCATTGTTGCTTCATGGATATTCTTGCTGGCCTTTTACTACTCATGGTTGTACACTGATTTTTGCAGGACTGTCTCAGGAGTCAAAATGAAGAGTGAATACAGAGAATTCATTGAAGCGAATAAATAGAAGTACTTCAAAACATTCCAGGGTGATACCCTATTTCTGTGATTCAATTTTGTTTTTTATATTTACCAGCTGAATAGCGCTGTCAATTTTGACAACTATTCCTTGAGCTAATCAGCAACTTCATAGATTGTACATGTAGAGCTACCAGTCACTATTGTACTTTTGATTGTTCAGTGTTTCATTTTTCCTAATTGAATTAGCAAGTCTCAACTACGAACATCTCGTTGACGATGTACTGAGTGAAATGTCACCCATAATATCATCATCCAAGCTGAAATGACGGTTCCTATTTATTATTTTTCGACATTCTAATTGATAAGTTCCTGTCAAATTAATGTAACCTATCATACATTAATTTATTTTTATGTATATGTCAGCATCGACTAATTCCTGATCTCACGTTAAGCAAGATTTTTTTTACCTAATCCGTGGTCTGCAAAACAAATTATTGTTTAATATATATATAGAAAAAATAATTCTCAAGCAGCTTGAGATAAGTTTATCTCCGGCTACTTCAAAATTACGTCGTTTTATTTATTTATTTTCTTATATTAATTGATTCACCTTTGAATGGTTATGATTCTCTTTCTCTCTCTCTTCTTTTATCACCATTGATTCATCTTTATATGATTTTGATTTAGTAATCGGAGATAAGACTATCTCAAGCAGCTTGAGAAACAATAAGTCTATATATATATATATATATATATATATATATATATATATATGAATATTAGCAAAATACATTCAATATTGTATATTGGTGAAATCAATGAATTTCGTCTTTTTCATATGCCTTGATTGTTGGTTAGCATTCTAAATCAAAGATTGTTTGAACTTTATTGGATTGATTTTTCAAGCTTCTTATCTACGAAGGTTTATTATTTGTAATTCACTGATGTAGATATTGCTGCATGATTACGAAAGGTGATTATTGATTAACAAATCCCCCCCCCCCCCCCGGACAAAGTGGGAGAAAAAGAAGAAGGAAAAAGCTAATTTCTGTTGATTATTTTCTTCCAATTAGTTTTTGTTACAAGCATGTAATGCCTATGGTACATACTGATTGATTCTCCGCAAGTAGTAGACAGAAAAAGGTTGAACTGTACTCACTACTCAAGAAAACATTGTGACAGACAAATTGCTTAAGTACCGGTTTCAGAATCCCTTTATATTTTTAGTCTATTTTGTTGAAGCATTAGGTTTTGCCTTGCAATTTGGTGTATTATTTATCAATTTATGTGTTGAGTTAAAACCCTGGTGTTAGAACATGGATATACTTAAAAGGCATTTTGATAACATCTTCAATATAATTGTTATGCTGGTATCAGGTGAACTGATCCACGTGATCAGTTCATTATGTAAAACCCTTTTAATGAACCATTGTCACCCCATAATCGAGACACTTGATGACTTATCTCCCTTGTCACCTCACCGAAATTTTATAACAATCTAAACTATTCTATATTTTGTGTTTCATTTAAAAAAATAAATAAAAAAAATATGTAAGTATGGTCTGGGACTTTTAAATTATAATTTCCTATCCACTTTCTACACTAATTTTTTCTATGATGCAACAAACCTCAGGTCAGATTGGTGCATAAGTCAAACAAACATAACTTTGCATAATCTTTTTTTTTTTTTTTTTGGAATACAACTTTGCATAATCTAGCAAGTCTTTAATCGCATAAAATTCTAATACCAAAAGAAAACATTAATATTAGTTCCATAAACCGTATGTTCAAATAAAATTTCGACGAAATTTTGGCAGAATGTCTGCTGAAATGTTAACATCCCAAAGTTATATATTTACTCGTAAATCAATAAAAACAATAAATAACTAACGTCAAGGCCTCACATAGCTATGAAATCAAAGAAAGAAAATAAGAAAAAAAAAATCGAAAGAAAGCATAAGAATATCATAAATTCAATTTTTTTTTATTTTCCATAAAAATTATGCCCTTGGATTTCAAGAAAAAATAAGGAGAGTAGTTACACATCAATGCATCATTACATATGATGGTTAAAATTCACACCAAAGGTCATACATAAATCCTCACTAATGACATTCTTTATCGTATAAATAATTTTCCATTCACCCGAGTCTTAATTAATAATATATATTATTATTTATCTACTGACATTTAACTAAAGATAATTTAAAAAAATTAAAAAATTAATAAAGAATGAGAATAGACAATTGAAAGTATTAAAACTTCATCCTTATTCTCTATTATTATTTGAGATCTTCGAGATACTCGAATATGAAAATGTTAACTAACGTACATGATCATAAAATCTTCGTTAGAATATGTCAAGTTATTAATTTCAAAGTGTCTCAATTTTAATTTGTAAGGTACATATACGTTCCATGTGTTAGGTATATAGTCCCACAAGTTGCTCTAGATCTCGTGGTTTCTCTTTATTATATTTAATTGAAAAACTAAATAAAAACAAACATATATATGTTTGAGGAATCTACGCTCAACGAAAGATGGTTGAAGAGAAAAACAGATTTATGTGCAATATCTATATCACTTTCGGCTATTTGCCTCTTATGTGACAAATTATAATGGGAATGTTGGGCTATCTACACGTTGCTTAGCTGTGATCTTCAACACAGCTCATATATTGTCTGAATCATCACCACAACTTTGACCAATATTTTCTTTTCCATGTGATCATGCTACCTCTCATCAACAATGCAACTTGTCACCATTCAACTGTTCTTGCCCACTTATATCACACTCAAAGCACGTATGAGATTGTGCTGTTTATGCTTCTCAAAGACGACCTTTCTATTTTCAGGTTATGATATCAAACATATTCAAAAAGATTAAAATTAATTTTTTTTAAACTATATTATGTATCTTGTTGAATTTCGAGACACGAATTTAGCTTTCTTTTTAATCAAATTCTAGTATTAGGCGTCGATCGCTTCCCATTAACTTCTCACAAACCTAGGCGCAAAAATATTTAAGCCATTGTATTCTCTCCATTTTTAGGGTATAAAAGCCCTTCAGTTCTAATCATGTTAGAGATCGTATTCTATCTATATATTCTTCCTTGATAATATCCCCCCCCCCCCCCCCCCCCCCCCCCCCTCTATCATGTGAGATGTAACGCCCCAATTTAATAATTGGATTGTTAACTACATATGGTCATTTTATTCGCATCTAACTAAATTAAAGTAGCGCAAGACTTAATAAATTTTTTAATTACTCGATATAATTTTGCGGTAATTTTTTTTTAATTAAATCTTATGCTTTGCTATATGTATATTATAATTCTTACTTCAATAAACTTACAATCTCATGTACAGAATTTCAAATTAAATTTCAAGTGACCATAATCAATGACCAATCACTATTCAGATATCATAATTTATACCATTCCGTATAGAGTCTAACGGACAGCATAATAGCTATAAATCGGACTATACCAGGGATTAAATCACATTGTTTCAACCTGTTCCTGATATACAGAAAAGTCTACAAAAAATATATATATACTGAATATGGCTCTGTGCCAATAGAACAACAAACTACTTGACTTGTTAATACACACATAGGCAAACACATGTCTCTCAAAATGATTATCAGCTATATACATGCATGATGATATACTTCATGCACTAACAAAACATGTCTACACGGACATTCAAAATAGCTAAGTGCCCACTCCTTTTGAGTCCTCTATCTTCACTGAACTGGTCCTTTGCCCTTTGAGGGTTCTCCTGCTGCTAACGCACCTGTAATTTAAATTACAGCCCCACGACGGGGTGAGAAATGAATCCCAATATAACTCTTTTTTTTTTGAAGAAAATAGTGTTGAATTTTGTTGTGGCTTGATGAATTGATGAGGTGGTGTGTTTGTAGTATAATTGGTAAGATTAAACAATTATTAGAGTGAATAAATCATGAAACCATCCCTTGATACCATGGATTCATACCCCACGGCTTATGTAGCAAAAAATTTGATAAAATGGTGACAAATTATAATGATGGATATTTGTAGTGTGTCATGGTGTTGTGGAATACTAATAAAGTTACAAGGATGGTTAGTTGCAATTTAGAAGCAAATGTGGGTAATTTAAGGCCTTATGGCCGATGGCCTTGTTGTGGCATGGAATAGGGTGCTTTGTTATTTTGCTTGTTTTACCAAGCTTGGCATTGATCATGTGTGTATATGATCATGTAGGTAGGACCCAATATTGGAGGATTGAGCTTTGGAAGCTTCATTGGATAGCTTTTGGTCCTTGACCTAAAGAACTTTGGTAAGTAATAGCTTACTTTATTATGTGTATATGATTGATAGTTGTTTGAGTTATTGTGATTCAAATTGTAAATGTTGGAATGGCTACTTTTTGAGTAGGCATTCTGTGAAAGGGTAAAGGTTGTTGGCTTTGTAAGCTAGGCTTGGATGAACCCATATTGAGGTAAACTTCTTATCCTAGGATTAATCTCCTTGTGTGATCCACCATGTCTATTAGGATAGTGGTTGAAATTTATGAACTGTGATAATTCTACTAGAGTATGCTCATGCATTTGAACATGTTGTGTGATAATTATTCTATGTATTATCTGGCCAGTAGAATTGTATTGGGGGGACTGCCACTAGATATGTCTCTTGAGGGAGTTCTAGTTGGCATTGTGCCTTAGAGTTATTATCTGTTGGGAGCATTCTAGGAATGTCTCAAGAGTTATATAATGGGGTCACTGAGTGGTTGTTCTCAGATTTGAGCCCAGTTGGATTGTTTGATTGTATAGTATACTGTATGAATATTACCATTGTATGCACATTTGAGTGAGGCGTTGGTGGAGTGATCCTTCAGAACCATTGGTTTACTGATATTGTTAAATTCACCCTGCATTTTGGGAATCCACATTTCAGGTACTACCGATCGTGCAGGAGGAGCACTTGGCAAGGGGCCCACCTAGACCATTGGATGGGATGTTTTGAGTGCATGACATGTATTGGCATTTTGGGAGATATTTGATTGATGCATATAGTAGTATTCATTTTGTATCATTGACTTAGGGTATGAACATTGATCTTGCATGATGTTGCATTTACCATGTCTAGGGTTGTTCATACTTTTGTATCTAAGCCATTTGATTATGGATTGTAATATTTTGAATTTGGTAGCAATGATGATGTAATAGTTCTATTTAGTTAGTTGATGTAATAGCAATGATGTGATTGTTCATACTTTTGTTCATATTTAGTTATTTTGAATTTGGTAGCAATGAAGAGGAAAAACTGATTTACTTCATGAAAATA